CCCAGGGTGCTCTGAGGAGGAAAGACCCAACCTGTGCCGGGAAGGCTGCCGGAACTGGAGGGGGAGCTCTGACCTGGTGGTCCCTGATCAGCCTCCCAGCAGGGATAAGCCCTTCAAGTGCTTGGAATGTGGGAAGAGCTTCAGGCAGAGCACCCACCTTCTCACCCACCAGCACATCCACACTGGGGAACGACCCTACACATGTGGGGAATGTGGGAAGAGCTTCAACTGCAGCTCCAACCTCCGCAGTCACCATCGCATCCACACTGGAGAACGGCCTTACACATGTGGGGAATGTGGGAAGAGCTTCAGGGAGAGCTCCACTCTCCATGTCCACCAGCGCATCCACAGTGGGGAAAGGCCCTACAAGTGTTTGGATTGTGGGAAGAGGTTTCAGACCAGCTCATATCTCCTGAAGCACAAGCAGATACATACAGGGGAGTGGACCTTTCACTGCACCGACTGTGGGAAGGGCTTCAACCAGAACTCCAACCTTGTCACCCACCAGCGGATGCACACTGGGGAGAGGCCCTACAAGTGTGGGGAGTGTGGGAAGAGCTTCACCCACAGCTCTACCTTGACCAAACACCAACGGACTCACCAATAAGGGGAACCCTACGAGAGCCTTGACTGCGGGAAGAGCTTCGGCCACTGCTTCTACCCCAAATGAACCCCGTCATGGTGAGGCAACCCCTGGAGTCCAGTGATTGTCAGTCCATCCTTTTCTACCACAAAGGACCAGTCCCCTTTCACAGGGGCAGGTTCTTCCAACACAGCCCTTCTTGGGGTGTCAGTCCTGGAAGTTTAGAGCAGAGATCTCCCCACCAGCGTTGGTCTGGGGGAGGTCCATCCGTCTCTACTTAAGAATTATTGCTTTTGTGCCAGCTTCATCAGTTGGCTTCAACAATTGCGTTAGTGTAGAGCACTGTCCTATCTTATCCTGTACTCCTGGTAGTTTTAGTGTGTCTATTGTGCAATAAATAATTCTGATGAAGATCTTTTGTCTGATCATTTGTAACCCTAAATAAATTCATTTCTATCAATAGATCTGTTTTGCCATCATTAAAACCTGGGCGACAGAAGTTTTTCAGTCACACATCTCTAATTCCTCTAAATTGATTCTGTTGGCATAATTGAAGGCTGAGATTGGATCCAGCAGCCCCCAGCACCCCAAAGGATGTTGGAAGCTCAAGGCCTGCCCCCCCATTTCCTAGCCCCCTTGTGCCCAAAGACCCCCAAGGGACTGTCGGACCTGCCAGACTATCCCTCATTTTCCACCCTTTCCCTGTTCCTCCCACTTTCCCATTGTCCCCTCAATCTCCAGTTTTCCCCCCAAACAGTTTTGGGGTCCCAACTCCCACTTTTTGCCCCCTCTCCTGTGGGCACTGAAGGAGAAAATGAGGCTGCACACACAGAGTTCCATTTTGGGACTTGTCCACCCATCTTTCCGGCGTCCCCCTTTCATTGGGGTTCCTTTGGAAACAGCGCCTGGGCTTTGTCTTTTAGTCCTCTGGAATTCCCAGCGGCAGGGCCCCAAAGCAGTGCCCTGATCCCACACATTCCCCTCCCCTCATGTGCTGGCTGTGTTCAGCCGCCAGAGAAAAACACAGGCTGCCATGCACAGCATTCCAAGTGGTTTCCACTTTGGCAAACAGCCCTCTCTGGATGGAAAACACCAGTCAGGGCCAAAACACTCCTTTTGGATCCTGATTAACTGAATGCAGCTGCTGCTGCCTTAACTTGTTCCCACAAAAATTCTCGGGATTCTTTTGCTTCCAGGAGGCCCCACATGTCACAATGGCCCCTTGATTCCATGAGCTTCCAGAGACTCCGAAGGTTCCTTTAGTTCCACGAGGCCCTGCAGTCCCAAAATGCCCTTTGGATTCTCAGAGATTTCCCACTGTCCCAGGGTCCCTTGTGCTTCAGAAGGAGCTGCAGTGGGACAGTGGCCCCTTGGTTCCGTCAACTCTGCAGTGCTCCAGGAATCCTTGGGTTCCAGGAGATCCTGCAGTTTCACAAGGACCACTTGAATGCAGGAGGTGCTGCAGGGTCCCAATGGCCCCTGGATTCTGGGAGGTTCAGAAATATCTCAGGGCTGAGAAAACTGGGATTGTTCATGCTGGAGAAGAGAAGGCTTTGGGCTGACCTGATTGTGGCCTTCCAGTGCCTGAAGGGAGCCAACCAGAAAGATGGAGAGAGTTTGGACAAGGGCCTGGAGTGACAGGACAAGGGGCAGTGGCTTCACATGGATAGAGGGAAGGGTTGGAGGAAATAGTAGGAAGGAATTCTTTTCTATGAGAGTGTTGAGATGCTCTTGGAGGCCCCTCCCAAGCCAAAGCATTCCATGATTGTGGGACTGGTGGGTGAGGTGGTGGTTGGAGCCACCTGGGGCACAGGGACACAAAATGAGGGAGTTTTCCATTGTGGGGAAGGAAGGAGGGGGCAGCAGAACTGACCCCTTGGACACCTGGCAGGCAGGCCGTGGCTGGAAGTTGGTGATGGAGAGCTGAGTGAAGCCCCCACAATGCAGGAGGAAATGGTCAGTGACCTGCTCTGCCAATGAGACCCCCCCAAGTGCCTGGGCCCACATGGGATGCAGCCAAGAGTCCTGAGGGAGCTGGAGAAAGAGCTGACCAAGCCACTCTCACTCATTCCCCAGCAGTGCTGCACAACTGCACAAGTCCCAGCTGACTGGCAACAAGCACATGGGATGCCCATCCCCAGGAAGGGCCAAAAGGAGCATCTGGGCAACTCCTGGCCTGTCCCATTGACCTCAGGACTGGGGAAGTCCATGCAGCAGATCCTCCTCAGTGCCATCCCATGGCACAGGCAGGACAACCAGGGGATCAGGCCCAGCCAGCGTGGGGTTGGGAAAGGCAGGTCCTGCCTGACCAACCTCATCTCCTTCACTGACAAAGGACCCGCTCAGCAGCTGAGGGAAAGGCTGGGAATGTGTCTCTGTGGAACTCCAGAAAGCCTTTGGCACCATTTACCCCAGCATCTCCTGCACAAACTGGCTACTCATGGCTTGCCCAGGGAACTGTTTGCTGGGTGACAAAGTGGCTGATGGGCCAGGGAGTGGTGGGGAATGGAAGGAAATCCAGGTGGGGCCGGTTACCAGTGGGGTTCCCAAGGGCTCAGGGTTGGGGCTGCTCCTGTTTAACATCGTTGTGGATGATCTGGGCCAGGGGATCGAGTACCCCCTCAGGAAAGTTGTGGACAACACCATGTTGGGTGTGATTGTGGATGTGGTGGAGGGCAGGAAGGCTCTGCAGAGGGATCTGGACAGGCTGGATCAATAAGGCCAAGTGTCAGGGCCTGCCCTTGGGTCCCAACAACCCCCTGGAATGCTCCAGGCTGGGGGCAGAGGAGCTGGAGAGCTGCTCAGGAGGAAGGGACTTGGGGGTGCTGCTTGACAGGGACTGGATATGAGGCAGAGTGTGCCCAGGGGGGCAAGAAGGCCAAGGGCATCGTGGCCTTGGTGGAGAAGAGTGTGGCCAGCAGGAGCAGAGAACTGATTGCCCCTCTGTGCTGGGCACTGCTGAGGCCCCACCTGGAGTGCTGTGTCCAGTTCTGGGCCCTCAGTGCAAAAAGGCCCTTAAGGGGCTGGAGCGTGTCCAGAGAAGGGAATGGAGCTGGGGAAGGCTCTGGAAAACATGTCTGCTGAGGGACGGCTGAGGGAACTGGGCTGGTTGAGTCTGGAGAAGGGGAGGCTCAGGGGGGACCTCATTGCTCTCTACAATGACCTGAAAGGAGGTTTTAGTGGGGTGGGGGTTGGTCTCTTCTGCAAAGCCTTTAGTTACAGGAAGAGAGGAAATGACCTTAAGTTGCATCAGGTGAGACTCAGATTAGATGTTAGAAAAACGTTTTTCCACTGAGAGAGTGTTCAGGCATTGGAACAAGTAGCCCAGGGAGGTGGTGGAGTCTCTGGAAGTGTTCAAGTGTGTGGTGGGTTGACTTTGGCTGGACACTACGTGCCCTCCCAGCCGCCCTATCACTCCCCTTCCCAGCAGGACAGGGGAGAGAGTAAGGTGGAAAAAAAAACCCAACTCATCGGCTTGAGATAAGGCAGTTTATTTAAAGCAAAAAGCAAAGTGATACTTGCACATGCAGAAGCCAAAGACAGCAGGATTTATTCTCTACTCCCCATGAGCAGCCATGGTCGGCCACTCCCGAGGAGCAGGGCTTGGGGACGCGGGACGGTTCCTCAGCAGGCAGCCATCAGACAATGAATGCCCCCCTCCTGCTCCCTGCCTCAGCTTTTAGAGCTGAGCTGACCTCCCATGGTCTGCAATGTCCCTTGGGTCAGTTGGGCTCAGCTGGCCTACTTGGGTCCCCTGCCAGGCTCTTGCCCTCAGCTAAGGAAGGAATGTCCCAGTGTTGGTGCTGTGCTCAGCAGTGGCCAAAACACTGGGGTGTTCTCAATACCCTTCCAGCTGCCAATGCCCAGCCCAGCCCTGGGAGGGCTGCTGTGGGGAACTGAACTGCAGCTCAGCCAGACCCAACCCAAATATCTATGGCACATATTCTATAGAATCCATCTTTAGGTGTTGTATGATAGATCTAGAAGATATTACAAATAATAAGCAATAACAAGGCAAGTGTCCTCCTTAGAGACACACACAGAGCCCCCCAAACTACTGCCTTGGTTTGTTGCCAGACTGACTGCTCTGGGGTGTGCAGGCATTTGTGGTTCTGCCTGTCTTGCACACACACAGCCTTGGGATGGATCTGGATGTCACTGGATATGATGTCACAGGGGAGATGTGATGCCATATAATAGACGTGATGTCATAGAGGAGCCTCGATGTCACAACAAGGATGTGATGCCACAAGGGAGATGTGATGTCACAAGGGAGATGTGATGTCACAACAAGGATGTGATGTCACAGGCGAGCATGGGATGTCGCAGGGATGATAGGATATCACAGGAGAGATGTGATGTTACAGGAAGGATGTGATGTCACAGAGGAGCTGTGATGTCATAGGGAAATGTGATGTCACAGGGAGGATGTAATGTCAGAGGGGAGGACGTGATGTCACAGGGGTGATATCATGTCACAGGGGAGAGGTGTGATGTCATATGATACACGTGACATCATAGAGGAGGTGTGCTGTCACAGGAAGGATGTGATGTCATATAATGTGCGTGATGTCATAGGTAAGATGTGATGTCACAGGAAGGAAGCTGTGATGTCGCAGGAGAACTGTGATGTCACGGGGAGGATGTGATTTCACAGGGATGATATGATATCAAATGAGAGATGTGATGTCATATGATGGATGTGATGTCATAAAGAAGCCTTGATGTCACAGGGGAGCTGTGACATCACATGGAAAGTGTGATGTCACAGAAAAGGTATGATGTCATATGATTGATGTTACGTCATAGGGGAGATGTGATTTCACAGTGGAGGTGTGATGTCACAGGCAATCACGGGATGTCACAGGGATGATATGATATCACAGCAGAGATGTGACATCACAGGAAGGATGTGATGTCACAGGGCAGCTTTGATGTCATGAGGAGATGACGATGGCCAAGAATGCACTCAGATAGCAGTGAAAGGTACATGGCTACTTTATTGCTTTCAAATGTTTCTTTTATACTCTTTGTATACTATCGTGCTACGCCATAGTTGGTTAAAAGTCTCAAACATAAAACACTGTACATACTTTCACTGGTAACACAGAAAACATTGTGCATACTTTCATTGGTGACACTACACACATTTTGATTGCTGACCTTTGGTCTCAGCTGCATTATGTTTGTTCCGTCCCGCATTGCAGTAAATATTTCCTTAGAGTTGTTTACATTCCTCTGCAACTTCAGAGCTGCAACTGCTCAAATTCAAGGCCTACCATCCAGTTGTTTCCCACAGGGAGGTGTAATGCCATAGGGGAGATGTGATGCTACAGGGACGATGTGATGTCACACAAGGACATGATGACACAGGGATTATGATATTACAGGAGAGGTGTGATATCATATGATGGATGTGACACCATAGGGCAGATGTGATGTCACAGTGGAGGTGTGATGTCACAGGGGAGCTGTGATGTAGCTCTGCAGAGCCCTGACAGTACCACTGCAATCCCAAGCTGCATTGCCCGGGTCAACACTCAGCACAGCCAAGGCCACAACCCTTCCTGAAAGGTGTCCCTTCTGGGGAGGACCAGGGGGACAAACCCCTCCATCTGTCCCTGCAGATGTTGTGTCCAATTCTCATCCCCCACTTAGGGACAAAGTCAGGTTACACTGTGTGTTTAGCTTGGCATTTGCTTCACTCTTGTGCTTCGAACACACACACACACACACACGAGTCTGGACAGAGTCTGCCCCCCAGAGAACACAAGGCCTGACTATTTGTGGCTCCTGCTGCAGGGTCTGGAACTTGGGCCACAATCTGTGCCAGGAGCAGAGAGGTCCCTCCCCACAGAAACTTCTTGGCAACGGAGTTCTTAAGAAAACGGGACAGGTTGTGGGGATCAGTGTCAGGGCACAGCCAGGGACGTGTCTTGACCAGCTTCCTGTTTAATGTGACCAGCTTTTTCAGCCTCTTTGCTCTCTGTTTTCTCATGCTTGTTCCTCCAGTGACCATTGTGATCCTACCCTTGCTTTGGTTCTTTCCTAGACATCCCGTGGCAAGTCTTGCCCAGTCCCCAAATCTCCTTTCTGTCTGCCCATCATAAGTCTCAGAGCCCGAGGCCGAATCCCCCATCCTCAGCTGCAAGGCCACCTGAGAGGTTCTGCCATTGACTCATTTGGTTAAAGTTTCATACAGATACCTTGGAACTTCTTTGAATTAATTTGTTACCTTTTGGGCTTAGAATGGCTTCTTCAAAAACATGGAAATTCATGTCCTCAACATGGCAATACTTTGGAGAAGGAGTTTGGGATATTAGACTCAAAGAATCACAGAATGATTTGGCTTGGAAGGGATATAAAAGCTCATGTGGTCCAAACTCCTGCACATAGACAGTGACATCTTCACTAATTCAGGCTGCTCAAAGTTCCTGACCTTGGACAAATCCAGGGATGGGACATCCTCTCCTCTGGGAACCTGTTGCAGGTCTTGCCAGCCCCATTGGCAAATATTTCCTCTTATTATCCAATATAAAGCTCCCCTATTCCAGTTTAAATCCATTGCCCCATATTCTGCCAATACAGGCCTTGGTAAAACATATGACTGTGACTATCTTAGACTATGAGCACAATGTTTTCATCTGTAAACACCTTGGAGACTGCTCAGGGATGTCCCTACAAAAAGTTTGTCCCCATCTTTCTTAGAAGCCTCTGTGGTGGAGCATCCTCCCCCCACTGTCCTCAGGCCTGGTTGATGATCTCAGGAGCTCCTGACAAGCCTTGACCAAACCAGATGAGCAAGGAAGATCCTCTGAACTGAATCTTCCAGGGGTGTGGGGAAGTGTCCCTGGAATGGACCAGGTGCTCCTGGATGATACAGGTGGGAACAATCCAGAGTGGAACAGCTGGGGAACACAGGTTAATCAGTCATCCCATGAAAGCCTTGGAACATTCCCTACCTGAACTGTAAACCAAATGGAAGAGTCTGGATGCAATTCCCAAATAGTTTGGAAACTCCAGCCATTGCTGACAGGGGGATGGAAATTCAGCAGATAACTAAAGCCAGTCCCCTTGGGAGCCCACAACCAGCGGGGCTGAGGGAGGCCCTGGTAGCTCCCCAGCACCTCCCTCTCAGTGGGACACCTCTGGCAGCCTCTCACAGCTCAGGACACTCCAAAGACTGTCGCTGATGCCCAGGACAATTCTGATCCCCCTCAACAAACACTCCTCCAGCTGTGACCCTTGTCTGGTGGGAAAGACAAAGGGATTTGTGAGAATGTTTCCTTGACAACAAGGAGAATTTTGGAGAGGGACCTTTCCACACCCAGCTATTGATGTGTCCACACATCTCTGCCTGGGTGTGGGTGTGAATTGACTGTGGTGCGAATGTTGTTATTGTGAATCTATAATTCGGTCACTGTTAAAATTGTAGCAAATGCTATTGAATCACTTGATAACTGTCAAACAGGTCAATAATTAAATGGTACTAATCTCTTTTGCCCCCTTATCTTTGTGTCTTAATCCTTTGCACCCTGACCCTCTTGCATCTTAAGGCTCTGTGTAAATCATTCCCTTTCATCAGAAAAATATATTATTCGTGACTTCCACTTTAAAATCTTCTTCATTAGCTAAACTGCAAAACAACTCTAATTAGTTGTTGATGTCTTAAAGACATGAAGACAATTAAAGGAAGAGAAAGAAATTGTTTTTCAGTGTTTTAATGAGCCCCACAGTGTGTTTAGAGATGAGTCCATCATCCTGAGGTATTGAGAGAAGATTGAAGCAGCTGCTCAAGAAGTCAGAAGGCAAACTCCAAGTGCCTTGAAGCATTGCTGGGCCCCACTGAGGGCAGGCACTGACAAAGCCTCCCCTCAGCATTCCCTGAACCTGTTTTTACCTCATCAAAATCTTTCCTCTCTCTTTGTCAAGCCCCTGTTTCCTTCCCCAGTTTTCTTATTCCTTTTGTCCCAGTTCCTCCATGGAATCAAGGAGCCACTGTGAAACTGCAGAACCTCATGGAATTACAGGGCCATTGTGACACTGGGGAAAGCCATGGAATCAAGAGACCACTGGGACACTCCAGGGCCCCATGGAGCCAAAGGAACCCAGGGACAGTGAGCAACCTGATGAAATAAAGGGGCCATGGTGACACTGCAGAAACCCATGGAATCAGGAGGCCATTGTGGCACTGCAGGGCCTCCTACAAACAAAGAAACCCTGGGCCACAGTGGAATTTCATGAAATCAAGAGGCCATTGTGACACTGGGGAACCTCATGGAACAAAAGGAATGCAGGGACACTGTGGGACTTCATGGAATCAAGGGGTAGTTGTAACACTACAGGGCCTTATGGATCCAAAAGAACACAAGGAAACTGTGGAATCTCATGGAACCAAGGGACATGTGAGGCCTCATGCAACCAAAGGAACCCTGAGACATTTTGGAAGCTCATGGGAAAAAACATTCATTGTGGCACTGCAGGGCCCCGTGGAAGCAAAGCAACAGAGGAGCACTGAAATCTGGTGGAACCAAGGGGCCATTTTGACATGTGGGGCCTCATGGAAGAAAAGGAACCCTGAGACATTTTGGAACCTCATGGAGCCAAGGGGCCATGCTGACCCTGAGGAACCTCATGGACTCAAGGGGCCACTGTGACACTGCAGGGCCTCATAGAACCAAAGGAACCCTGAGACATCTCAGAGCCTTTGGCTGTGCTGGACAAACTGGGAGGCAGAGCCAGCTGATGGTGCTCCCTGCCACTGACCACCTCCCACAGAGGTTCCTGTGTGGCCATGGAGGGGGCTCAGAGGGGCCCTGCCTTGTTCCAGAGCTGGGACATTGCTTTGGGGGCTGCTCTTGATTGACCTGTGGAAGTTCACTGAGGGCAAGAGAAGTCACTTGCAAGAGTTTTCCCTGTACCTGCTGTGTCTCCTGGGCTTGCAGAGCTCTGTTTGCCACTTCCCAGCAAGATTTAGTACTTGATCTCTGGGTGACTCCACCCTGGGTAGGATTCTGCTCCAGGGCTCCATTCCCTGCTGACTGGATGGGACGGGCTGTCCCTGCAGATCCTCTGTGCTCTCCTGCACTTCCTGAGTTCCTGCAGACAAGTCCTCACCTGCCATCAGAGCCCTCACAAGCTGCAGAGCCCCAGGCAGGTGACTTGGAGATCATTTGTCACCTCCATTGGCCATTGCCCACTAACACACCACATCTGAACCAGCCCTCAGTCCCTGCAGTCCCAATGGGTCCCTGACCTCCCTGCACTGTCTCCATGGACAAACAAGCAAAGCAACAAGACTTTGGAGACTCTATTCCTTGGACTTCTTCTCAACACCAGTGTTGGAAAAAGACCTCAGCCTTCAGGAAGTGCCTGGAGGGGAACCCCTTTGCTGCTGGAACTGCTGTTGTGGAGCCCAGCCCTGTGCCAGCAGTGCCCAGGGCCTGTCCCTGCCTGTGCTCACAGGCCTGACACACAGCAGGACAGTGACTGAGCTGCCAGAGCACTCAGGCCTTGGGCACGGACAGGAAAGGAGAGGGTGGGAGTGCAAAGAGAGCAGCTCTGAACAGACCCAGTTCTGGTGCTCCCTGGCAGTGCTGGGACTCTTCCCCTCTACATCTGGAAACATGGAAATGTCCTCCAGCTTCAGGGGAGGCCTTGGAGGAAGGATTTGGAAAAAAGAATTTAAGTCCTTTCTTACATTCAGAGATTGTGATTCCTCCTGTACAAACTAACACAGGGAGAATGTTTGACAAATACATTGCTGCACAAACTTTTATTTTGTTTAAATGCACACAAAGCATGACTCCTCATTTGTATATTTTGTGGGTAAAAAAAAAGAGGTAGAGAGTGAATGATATATGGGATGAAGAATAAAATTTCAGTGTTAATGACATGAAGAGAGGGGAAAAAAAGGAAAGCCCCCCACAGCCACCACTATCAAAAACTTTAGAAGGCAGGCTGTGCCCAAAATATGTTACACAATGAGTGTTCTGCAGAAGAAAAGATGCAGTTTATTGCTCCTTAAAAACATGCAGTCATTGTTTTCCTTATGGCATCCTTGAGTTCCTGGTTCCTGAGGCTGTAGATGAGGGGGTTCAGTGATGGAGGCACCACCACATAGAGAACTGACACGACCAGGTCCAGGGACGAGGAGGAGATGGAGGGGGGCTTCAGGTGGGCAAATGTGGCAGTGCTGACAAAGAGGGAGACCATGGCCAGGTGAGGGAGGCAGGTGGAAAAGGCTTTGTGCCGTCCCTGCTCAGAGGGGATCCTCAGCACAGCCCTGAAGATCTGCACATAGGAGAAAACAATGAAAACAAAACAACCAAATCCTAAAGAGATAGTAACCCAGAGAAGCCCAATTTCCCTGAGGTAGCCTGAGTGTGAGCAGGAGAACTTGAGGATGTGTGAGATTTCACAGAAGAACTGGCCCAGGGCATTGCCCTGGCACAGGGGCAGGGAAAATGTACTGGCTGTGTGCAGCAGAGCAGTGAGAAAGCCAGTGGCCCAGGCAGCTGCTGCCATGTGGGCACAAGCTCTGCTGCCCAGGAGGGTCCCGTAGTGCAGGGGTTTGCAGATGGCAACGTAGCGGTCGTAGCACATGATGGTGAGGAGGGAAAACTCTGCCTTAAGAAAGATTATAAGTAGACAAAAACCTGTGGAGCACATCCTGTGTAGGTGATGGTTGTGGTGTCCCAGAGGGAATTGTCCATGGCTTTGGGGACAGTGCTGCAAATGCAGCCCAGGTCTGTGAGGGAGAGGTTGAGCAGGAAGAAGCCCATGGGGGTGTGCAGGTGGTGGTCACAGGCTATGGTGCTGAGGATGAGGCTGTTGGCCAGGAGGGCAACCAGGGAGATGGCCAGGAAGAGCCAGAAGTGCAGGAGCTGCAGCTCCTGCCTGTCTGCCAATGCCAGGAGGAGGAACTGGGGCATGGAGCTGCTGTTGGACATTTGCTGCCTCTGGCCATGGGGACCTGTTCATGTCGGAAATAACAGTGACCAGTTAGGGCAGAACATTCCGAGAAAAATCAAAGCCACTTTCCAACACCCCTCTCACTGCTCCATTGGTTTTCCTTTTGTAGGAGTCTCTCCTTCAGCTCCATGGCTGGAGCCCTGGTTGGCGCTCATTACATCTTCCATGAGGAGCAGACCCTCTACCCACTGGCTGTGAGGGCTCAGCCCTGCTCTGCACTGCTGGGGTCATGGGCATGGTGGGCACAGGGACCTGTCCTGGTGTTCAGCTGTGTCAGATGAAACTGCTCCCAGTGCAAAAGGCCTTGTCAGCATCTGCACTCCCAGTTTCTGAGAAAAACCAGTACAGCAGAAGGCAGTGTCACAGATTTGTTTTGTTTGCTTTTTTTTTTTTTCCAATTCCCTCATCTCTCCTGAGGAGTGTTCCTGGATGTCAGAATCCCTCAGCACTTCTGATGCACTCAGGGAGAACAGAGCAGGTCCTGCCAGGCAGGAGGATTGTCTGGGGCTTAGTGCAGAGTGAGGGGAGCTGCTCTGTCCCTCTCTTGTTCCCAACTGCCCTGGCTTTGCTCCTTCCTGAGATGGAGACTGATCATACTTCCATTTGGGTCTGAAAAGCCACCAGACACTGTTGAGAGCAGAGGGATCCATCCCAGACTCCTCAATGTCCCAACCTGTCTCAAGGGCTCAGCACCCCACTTGGAGCCAAGGACACCCGGGGCTCATCTCCCCAACCCAAGAGCATCTCCTGGCATGGGCACAGCAGCTCTGCCCCTCTCCACTGGGACTTTCCGAGAACACAGTTGTGCTGGGAGGATGATTTGCATTCTCAAAGGCAGCTCCCAGCTTGGAAGGACACCTCAGAAAAGAGCCAAGTGTCCTAATGATGGGGTCTGATTGAGGGAAAAAGAGCTCCTGACCCAGGCCCACAGACTTCACTGCCCACAGCCCACAGGGCAGAGGACAATTGGAATGTCTCATTCCCAGGGACACACCTGCCTGAGGGGAATCCCAGGATCAGTGTTGGACTGTGTAGCTTGAACTCCCCTCCCCAGTGAGCCTGAGTGAGAGAAGGAGGGAACAACCTCAGGACCAGGGGCAAGCTGAGAACCAAGGAAATGCACAGGGAGGGTCCAGCTGGGAGAGGCCAGGGCAGAGCCCACTGGGCACTCAGGGCAGTGTCACCCTGAGCCAACTGGGCCACCTCCCAGACACCAACAGTGTCAGCAAGTTGTTCTCAGCTCTGGGCAGCTCCTCACAGTTCCCTCTGGAACTCAAACCACCAAGCATCTGGCTTGAGAGCTTGAGAGAAATCCCTCCTTGGATGTTCCCCTTGAAGTATCCCTTGGAAAATATGCTGGGGTGCTCTGGTTCTGTGAGCAGCCCTGACCCACGAAACTCTCACTTGATAGAAGAAGAAACCTGCCCTGCCCTGCCAGGCTTTGCTCTTTTCCCCTCCAGCCTCTGCCCAGCCCTGAGGGAGCTCCCCAGCCCAGCTGAGAGCTGCCCCTGGCAGTGGCAGAGCTCCTGCCCCGGCACAGCCCTGGGCTGCAGGACCCTGCTCTGCAGGACAGCTTGGGGCAGCCTGGGTGGCACAGCCCGGCTTCACAACCCTGCAGCCATCCCTGGGAGAAGGGAACCCTGCTGGGATGTGCCTGGGATGGTGCAGCAGGGAGTGGGATGTGCCAGCGTTAGGAGATCTTTGCACCAACTGCAGACACATTGCCCTTCATGCTGACTCACTGTGAGGGAGCCTGGAAAGATTCGTCCTCCAGTGCATCTTCCTCTTGACTTCCCTCCCAGCCCAGGCAGTGTGCAACCTCTCTCTGCCTTGCTTTTCTTTCCCCGATGCTGCACAGCCCTGCTGGGCTGTGCAGAGGAGCTGCTCACAAGCAGAGCTGTCTCTTTGAAGCTCTTCTTGATTGCCAGGAGCTCCCTGTGTGCCAGGAGCCCGGCCCAGCTCAACAGCACTGCAACAACCCCAGGTATTTCATGACCCTCAGGGGGATTGGTGTTGTTTACATGAGACTCCGTCCCTGAGAGGAAGTTCAAACAACTTCTCAAGTAGTCAAAATGAGTTTGAAATACTGAAGTTTCTTGTACTGTTAATGGGTCCCACTGAAGGACATGACTGTGAAAGTGTCTCCAGATTCCAGTTGGAACAGAAAACTGCAGACAGTGATGACAAGGATGGACAAGCAAGGGAAAAGTGGTTCTGATGCTGAATAAACCTTGACTTGTTTCCTTAATCCAGAGGACCAAGCCCTGACCCCAGCCTCTGGGAAGGCAGATCCTGTCCCTGCCTCATTCCTCAGGACTCTTCCTGGGGCACTGGGATGTGGGATGTGCAATGCCAAGGGCAGGACCATGGGGTGGCACCTGCCAGGCAGCAGGGACAAGGAGGCCATGAGGCCCCAGGGCTGCAGGGGCCACTCCCCTCCTCCTGGCATCAGGGGCACAGACAGCAGCCATGGCCAAAGGCCTGCAGAAGGTGGCTGTGTCAGGGCCTTTCAGCTTCTCCCCATCCCTGTCTCCTCTCCAGCCCAGGCTGTCCTACGGTGTCCATGCCCTGCCCCTTTCCCTGCAGGCTGTCGTCATCCCCCCGGCTGCCCCACCTGGCTGGTACCTTCCTGCACTGACATCTCTGTGTCCTCCCTGGCTCTTCCTGCACACACAAAGCCTTGGGCTCATCCAGACTCCTCCTGGGTGATGTGTTGCATCACACTATTGCCCTCAGAGTGAAACTTCTTTCTCTTTGTTTCCAGCCTGGACATCTCCAGCTGAACTTGGCATTATTTCTTTACTTGTCATGCTGTTTCCTGCTATGACAAAAGGATCCTTCATCTCTGAAACCCCCCTTCCAGCCTTCTCTGGCTACTCCTGCACTGTCGTCAGTCTCTACACCATGGAGCCCAGAGCTCCCAGGTCCCTACAGAGTGGTTATGGGCTTGAGGCCTCCAAATCTTTTCTTGGGAGATCCCTGGGTACTCTCTAAGGTGTTTGCAGATGAACACATGATGCTCATAGTCTACGGAAACACAGGGATACATTTTACCAAGGCCTGTAGTGGCAGAACACAGGGCAATGTCGTTGAACTGAAAGACTGGAGTATTTTATCTATAATCGGAAGAAATATTTAACAATAAGGGTGGCAACAACTGGAACAAGTTCCCAGAGAATTTGGTGTCCCATCCTTGCATTTATCCAAGGTCAGAGACTGTGAGTAACCTCAATTAGTAAAAGATGTCACTGTCCATGTCCAGTGGCTTGGACCAGATGTCCTTCTAGTTCCCTTTCAACCCAAACCATTCTGTGATTCTTTGAGTCCCAACCTCCTTTTCCAAAGAATTGCCATATCTAGGACATGAACTGCCATGTTTTTAGAGAGACCCTTCTAAGCCCAAAAGGTAAAAAAATAATTCAAAGAGAGTTCCAAAATATTTGTGTGACCCACCAAGTGGGTCAATGGCAGAGCCTCCCAGTGTGATCTCACAGATGTGGATGGAGTTTTCATGCTCAGGGTCTGAAACTTATGATGGGCAACAAGAAAGCACATTTGGGGACTGAGGAAGACTTGTCATGGGATGTCTAGGAAAGAAACAAAGGAAAGGAAAGGATGGGATCACGGCAGTTTGAGGAGGAACAAACATGAGAAAACAGAGGGAGAAGGAATGAAAAAGCTGGTCATGGTAAACAGGAGGATGCTCAAGACACTTCTTAGGCCATGCCCTGACACTGATCCCCACAGCCTGTCCTTTCTTCTTAATAACTCCAATGCCAAGAAATTTCTTTGTCAAGGGTCTTCTCTGCTTCTGGCACAGATTGTGGCCCAAGTTCCAGCCACTGCAGGGGGAAACACTAACAGTAAACTCCTGAGTTCTTTGGGAGGCCAGACTGGTGTGTGTGTGGGTGTGGGTTGGAAGTACAAAACACTGAAGGAGATGCAAAGCTCAACTCGCTTCGGGGCCCGTGGGCATCAGAACAGATACGGAAATCAGATGAAATTCCTGTGGTGTGTGTTGACACATCATGGACGAGGAAAATGGAGCGAGGTGGAAGCTGCATTGTCTCTTTGTTCTCCTT